GAGAGAGAGAGAGAGAGAGAGAGAGAGAGAGAGAGAGAGAGAATTACAAGCTACCTCTGATTGTAATTATACAATTATAGCGCGTCTCGTGCAGTTCGCTGATTACATTGTGGAATTGTTCGAGCAACGAGCGACTCCTTCTTCTCCACTTCTTCCTTCTCCTCCCGTGAGAATTTTCAGTCGTGCGGCGGGTGCTCTCTCTCTCTCTCTCTCTCTCTCTCTCACTCCGCGCGAATAAATAAATACACCTTGCGCGGCGCAACACCAGACGATCGAAACGATAGACCACGACCGCGGGGAATCGCATCAACCGGAGAGATCTCACCCCGCCGTCATCTCTCCACCCTCCCTCTCGCTCTGTCGCGCGCTTTGGCGCTCCTCGTCCCCGTCGTCGGTGACTCGCGGATTAAACTCGCCGCCGGATTTCTCTCTCGAGCCTTTTGATCAGCGCCGCGGAAACTTGGACTACTTCCTTCCCCGTCCTCTACCCTTGTTTTTTTGTCCCTTCGCCACCTGCGGAGCGTGGCTCCTCCGTGGCCCCGCATCGATCGCCGATTAAGGAGGACGAGCATTTCCGTCGCCGAGCGTTGCCGCCGTGCGAGCTTTCACGGGTAAAAGCGCGCTCGCCGAGAAGCTGGCGTAAGCTGTTAAGGCTTTAATGGAGCGAGCGTGTAGATCCGGCAGCCTGCAGAAATCCGTGGGATTTCTGAGGTCGAAGAATTAACGTTCGCCTTTCGCTACGGTTCGCGCGCTCTCGCATTACCTACGTACGTACGTACGTACGTACGTACGTTAGCCGCGTACTTACGTGCCATTGACGGAGCTTTGGTTACAACGCGCGAACCGTTTTGCGATAATTAATCGCGAAAGGTGGATAAGTACGGCCGACTGAGCCTTCTCCCGAATCGCCGAGGCAGGTGTCGGCCGTTGAAGCGCACAAAGCTAATACTCCTCTCCTTCGCGGCCCTCGCCTCTCCTTCTCTCTCCCTCGTGAATAAGACAGGTTACGCTGATTAAAGACGCTTAAGGAGCAGCCGTTTTAATTCTTCAGACGATAGCAGTCATGCTGTCGTAATTAATTAATCCGCTGCGAGCGGTTTTCTCGTTGGAACAAGAAGTGAAGAAGTGAGCGAGACTGAGAGAGAGGAGGCTGAGCGAGAAGCGCGCGCCACGGTGTTCATATTTTAATTCGCTCGCGATCTACTGCAGCCAAACAAAGTGCACCGGTTAAGAATGCGCTGACTTTTTAATTTCTCAAGCCACGCCGGGCCGCTCTGCGCCACGCCGCGAGCGAGCGAGCGAGCCGCCCTTTAATAATTGATCGATCCGCTTCAGGTCGTTTTCCCGTTTCCCCGGAAAGAAAGGGCGCGTCTCGGTGGTTCGAGTAAAAATTAACGGGATTTGCATTTTCGAGCGCCGCGTCCTCGTGCTTCCGCGCGGTCGCGATGCAAGATGCACCCCTGAAAAATGCATCGTTATCGCGGCCGTGATGATAATCGCGTTCGTAAACTCATTAAGTCGCGTACGCGCGTACCCATAATAACTAAAAAAAGGAAAAAAATAACTGGGAGGACCGCATGCTCTCGCGCCGTGAAGCGAAGTAAACAAATTGAGCCCACCCGCCACGCATAATCTTCGCTTTCGACGCGTTACTTCGTGAAATTATTCAATGGAGCTCGGCAATAAAAACCCCGCTCGCGATAAAATGCACTCGTTCCTCGTCGCATGATTATTCTCTTTTCTTTCTTTAGACGCTATATTTCGCGCATATTTTGCGCGCGAACTGGTCGCGCATTGAAACGCCGACGAGTGGAGTCGCGTGGCGACAAGTAAGGCAGTGTAATATTCGACGCTGAACGAGCAGGACGTTGCTGTTTCAGAGTCAAGATGCGTCGATTTCTGCGCCTGCTCGCGCTGCAACTGCTGCTGCTGATGATTCTGTTGGCGTGCTGCGACCTGACGAGCTCAACGAGGTCGCGCAATCGGAAGAAGCTGAAGACGAACCTCTGCCACATCAAGGACCAAAAGGCGCCGATAAACTGCAACTGTCTCTACCACGGCAACGTCACCGAGATCGATTGCTGGGTGGTGAAGCCGCTGTCGCGCGACGATCCGTTCTGGGCCCACTTCTCGTCGCAGCACATGGAGAAACTGTTGCTGAAGCAGCACGAGAACGGCATCCTCGACTACGTGCCCGCGCATGTGCTGCACCAGATGAAGAACTTGCGCGTCTTCGAGCTCTTGTACGTGCAGATGTCCGAGTTGCCCGAATACTCCTTCGTCAATATCACCGGCCTCTCCGAGCTCCGCGTCACCGACGGCAAGATCGTGAAGCTGCACGATTACTCCTTCGTTAACATGCGCAACCTGACGATCCTCGATCTCGGGAGGAACAACATCAGTGAGATTACAAGGTATGTTGAGGACGACATTAATTGTCACAGGAATTTTGGCAGGAAAGAAGGCAAAGAGCGAATAAGCGAGGCATTTATTCATGTTTTTCCTATAGACAAAAAATGTTCTAGTAAAAATTACGCTAAAATTGCATCCCCTCCTACAATGTTTCTTTTTTCTAAAGCTTGATTGTAAACTACAATATAAATTATTACAGAAATAGCAAATTCGACAAACTGCCTGACGTGTAATATAAAAAATATTCACATATTGCAATAGTTTTGTAGTAAAAAGTTAAAAGTGCAAAACAATTTTTAACAAATGTGTAGTAATTTTAGTCATAATTTTGCCAAGATAATTTAATTTGATCCAAGATTACAAAAATTACAATTTTTACTATAATATTTTCTCCATGCAGAATGTCTTTTTAGGACAAAAATATTAACTATTAAAATACTCAAAATATTAACTATTAAAATACCCAAAATACTACAAATAATTTAAGGAAAAAAAAATATTGTGTCAAAGAGAGAGAGAAAGAGAAAGAGAAACAGAGAGAGAGAATATGAGACGCGAAACGGATTTTTCTCTGGTATTTCGTAAAGGTCTTCACTTAAAAATAAAAAAATCGAAACGTCGGTGTGAATTTCTTAATTTTGTAATTCCGACAATTTTCCTGAAGCGATTAATGATATTTGATAATCCGAGATAATTCAAGATGGCTTGATAATTGATAACACTTTGCAATTTAAGTAATTTGATATGCAAGTGCGATTTTTTATTTCGCGCGAGCTCCGCGATGAACCAAAGGGAGAGCGCCTCGGCGAAATTTCCAACCGAAAGAGAAACCTCAGCAAAATTTCCGCGCAGCCTGCCTGCCTGCCTGCTGAGAGTTAACACAATGTTATATGACCGCGCGAGTTACAGCTTATCAAGCTTTGAATATCGTATGTATTTTCCTCTTTTTGCGAGCCGTGCTCACAAAACTTGGGAAAACTTTCACCATTCCGGCAATACAGCGAGCGACACTACGAGCTTCTACAGCTCAAACTGCTCATTTTCCTCGAGAATCATCGGGAGTCCAGGTCGACTTTTGACGATCCCCCGCTGTGAAGCTGAGAGAGATCTTCCCGAGTGGTTGACAATGTTAAGAGTTACGTGAGTTTAACAGTGTCTCGCGGGACTGGATTTATTTAACCTTTCGAATGCGGAGCACTCGAGAGTTAAACGATCGTTGAGGACGGAGTATTTCGCGCGCTGTGTCGAAAGTCAGTCGGCGAGAGGAGCAACTTGTTGAGAAGTCGAGAAAGAAGCAGCGACCCGACAGACAAATGAAATCTTATTCATTACCGTCGTTCGAGTACGTGGAAGGAAATCAATGAATACGAGTGCTCATTGCAACATTTGTCGACTGTTGCTCGTGCCCGGGTGTGTGAGCCGGAGGAATTCGTCAGACGCGTGTACGCGCTCCCAGCACTCGAGAGGTTAAATTGATTCGATTATCGCGGCGTCTCGCTTTCGCAGAGAACGGAGAGAAGCACGAGCCGTTCGCGCGTTCGCTCGCTGCCGCCTGTTCTACCCCCGTCGTGCAAGTCGATATAATTCATGACGCGAGAGAGAGAGAAAGAGACGGCTTGGATTCCCGCGAACTGTTTCTATCGCGTGACCGTGTTCATATCGCGCGAACGGCGAGCCACAACGGCGTGTATTTATAGTGTCGCGCGCGAGAGAGTCTCGGCCGCGCCGCGGCGATTGCGTTTCGCACGATGATCGGAATCGCGCTGGTGAAATTTCGCCAGCCTGGACGAACGAAAACATTCCAAGCTGCCGTGCGCGGAAGCACCTCCGGTCCCGTATCTTGAGATCAAACCGATCGAAACTCCGCCGTCTGTCGATGCTCCAATATAATTTCGCCGGCTGCGACTCCAACAAGTTCAGCAACCGAGCCAAGACCGATGACGATCCTCGAGGAAACCGCTCGAACTTTCAACGAGAGAAATCGTTTCGACTCTTGTACGAAGCTGTCATGAAGGAAACATCGCTGAGTCGAAATTTTGATCCGAAACTTTCGATCTCAATATTCAATTCTGCGCTTATTTTGATACCACGAAACCTGCATCATCCTTTTTTTATTTTATTTAATGCACCTGATCAGTCACCGCGGCCATGTTGAATTGATGACGTCAGAAGCGAGGGAAACCGTGCCCAAAATTCCTGCGAATCACGGCTAAATAAAAAGATGTATCAATAAAATGGCACTTGCAATCTGTTCTACACACGTGATGCTTCGGATACTCCTTTCTTGCCGAAATTATTATTACATAACCGCAAAATAAATGTGACAAATTGCCTCGTTTTGACAGAAAATCAGCTGTGTGACTCGATGCCCGAATATGACCGAATAATTACGTATTAAATATTACAATAAGCACAATATCTACATATCGAGCATTTCCACACTTTCACAATTATATCACATGTGATGTGCACACGCTACATTCAATAACGCTGTGGTTCGCAGGAAAAGATTGGTCGTCTGTTCACATCATTAGGTCTATTCGTTTTCGATTAACTTTTGCACTGATATAATAAATTAGAGAAAAACAAGTATACTTTCTTTCACTCTAACTCTCTGTTATTGCAATAATCTACACTGATGTAGAAGTTTTTCGGAAACGAACAGATCTATTTTCTCGTTTAATAATTCATCATTTTGTCATTTGTAATCATGTCGCCACCGTCAACGCGGAGATCTTGGCTGATCAGGAACTTTAACTTGCTACTTTTGCCAAGAGGAGATCCTTTTTAGGGACTGATGGTTCCAACCTCTTGGTATCTATCTATCTAATAGATAATAAGCTATCTAACCTAGCTATCTGACAGCTAAATCGCTTATCTTTGTTTTTTTCATCAAATGGGGCAGAGATAGATACACGATTTAACTATTAGGTAGCTTATCAAGAGGTCGAAACAATCAGTCCCAAAATCCACAAGTGGTATTTAGTGTGTTTCCCACCACTTGAAAGTATTAAGTAGATGCTTCAGTCTTTTCATAGTATTACACACGTATTGATCCTTAAAAATATGAGTATATTCGAGAGATCAGATCGACAGTAGGACTGAAATTTCGACTCACGGCCATTTGCGCGCGGTCTCCCCCTCTCCCCTTCTTTTTCTCGCGTTTTTTCAGCGCGGCGAGTCTCGTGCCGCCGCAGTCTCTCAATTATAAATTTCATTTTCGATCATCCATTAGCGCCATTATGTCCAACGGCATACGAAATTGCCGTTGGATGCCTTTATCGCCGACCGGCAAAAAGGCGACGGCACGCTCTGAGTGCTTTCGCGGAGGCCCTTCTTACGCGAGCGAACGAACGAGCGAGCGCGCGGAGGAGGCCCCTTAGATGCGCGCCCTTTATAAAGCGAACGGAATGCATAGCGTCATCCCCCTGAACGCTTATAAATATGCATAGACGATGCCTTCGACGCGCGGCGATATTAGCGTCGCGACGACGGCGACGACGATGACTACGACGACGATGAAGTTGAATATAGTCGGCGGTTGCGACGAGTTCAGCCACGTATCTCTCGTACGAGAAAGCTCCTTGTCGCGGGCGGTGGCCTCGCGGCATTAGACGAAATCTTACACGGAGAAAAATAATTTTACATTTTTAGCAAAATTGTCGTTACTACTGCATATTCGTAGTGACATAAAAAAAGTTTAGTTGACGTAACTAATTTTAGAAATTATTCATTATCAGAGCAGAAGTAGTTTCGTTGCCAGGATAGGAAAAACTTGTTGAGTGTATAAGAATCACGTTAACCCTTTAAGGGGATGCTGGAGTCGATGACGAACTCGAACAATGTCGAGATAATGCAGAGACGATCGTCACTAACATAATGACGCTTTCCTTTCCGTATTTCTTGTATATACAGAACTTACATGAATGTGTATTGCTTTGATTTACTATATTTAACGGAAAACCTAACCATATATGTATAGAAATCTTTCTGCAAACTTTTTCGATATAAGCTTCCAAGTGCAGATGCGAAAGTAGAGCAATGTTCTTCAAAATTTTTCTGTTTGGAGCATCCACACTTTCGGTATGTACAAGCTGCGAAACTTTGGATTAGGCAAATATTACGCTAAGTGACAAATTGAGATTTTACATTTAACATTTTTTTTTTTTCATTTTCGTCATATATCGAGCAATGCTCCTATTTATTTTTGCACGTATTTTCATTACGTAAAAGGATTTGTAATTCTGTGTAACCAATACGACGTAAACTTTGCAGAAAAATGTGAGTTCTGTCGGTTTTTTAGCTTCAAAGTTTTCATCCCCTTAAACGAGATGTTAATGAAAACTGTAATAGACGCCGCGACAAGCACCGGCTGTGTATGCCGAAAATCAAGATTATTTTCTAATAATGTACTCACGATATATCCCGACGATCACACATCGCTATTTCGGCACTCTCGATACTTATTTCCGCGCCCGGCTTACTTTCGATAGGTAAAAGATGCGTAGAACGCGGAGCAATATCGATCGCGATGTGTCAAGTGAGGCTGCTCGTTGCGAAAAGATCGATTTCCAAGATGGCCACGCAATCTAAGGCAGTGCCGAAAGTGCGCGCCAAAACGTGAATGATGTCGCGGTTCGACAAGGACGCACTCTAGTAGCTACGCCTCTCTCACTCTCGCTGACGGACCGCGCGCGCGAGATCCGACGTCGCGTATATCTTTAGCGTCGTTTTGTCTTTCTCTTTTCCTCGGATTATCATCGCGATTCTAACTCCTCGTTAATAAATCCGACGATCATCCGATTCTACTACTACTTGAGCGAGTCGATATTAATGAGAAGTGCAATAGACACGTGTATGTATCGAAAATCAAGGGGATTGCTTTCAAATAACGTACTCACGATACACGCACATCGCTGTTTCGGCACTCCCGATACTTATTTCCGCGCCCGACTCACTTTTGATAGATAAAAGATGCGTAGAACGCGGAGCGATGTCGATC